AGAACAGAAATCAGACCTCTTTAAGGCAGGGAGACAGCCAATGAAATAAACATGACCAACAAAGAATATTTATGCTTAGTAACTAAAAGTGATCCAGACAAAGCATTCTTGCTAATGAAGAAAAACTGGGAACAATAAAAATAAGAGCTTCCAATGTACACCATAAGGTAAGAAGAATGCATTGCTATTAATAACACAGAAAAGTAACAAATCTCTTCAATAATGTACAAACTGAAGATGACTAATACTTTGGCAACTTCTTGGCAATGAGACACATTAAGCTAATAAATAGTAGGCACCCAATAAGACCCGCATGGGTGATTTTTTTTGGCAAGTGAATATGAAATGATATCTCTGCGTATTTCATCAAGCAGAACATAGAATCAGGAATCACGATGCCATATTTCAAGCCTAAAAGAATATGAAATCTTTATCTAATTCTAGGTCTAAAGATGTATAGGAAATTTGGCATTGTAATTTTCATTTTTGAAACTTCAAGTTTAAAAACATTTCGCACTATTATTTCTAAACATCATATGTATTTAAGACAATAGCATAAAACATTTTCAAAATGATGATTTAAGAGCAAAAGTATTGGTTGCTGGATGATACCAAAGGAACTTCAGAATTCTATATTAAGAGGTGCTTCATGAAATTCACAATCAAAGGTATTCTGTGACTCAAAACTTTGATAATTTGTTGCTTGTTATGATTCTATGCCAAGATGTTATATAAATCAGAAAGGAAGAAATCGTTGGTGTAACTCTTTTCTCCCCTTTATGCAGTTTATACGGGGGGATATATTTTCATTTTAAAGAATCTATACTAATATACAGACCAAGTTCAGAAAATTTATTGGATATGCATATTAGTCTGTAAATAATAGTATACACAAGTTTATCCAACTTTAAAAAGCTAAATTTAACCAATTTAAACAAGCTTGAATGACTCCTTTGCACTATTAAGCATAGTAGCGTCTATTCAATATGTTATGGCCCAGCAAACTAAACACCTAAACCCTTTAGCTGATCTTGGTAACCTGCTAAATACTAAAACCAGTTAAACATTCTGCACTTCTGCAGGGAATACTCCTAAAATTACTATTCCTCCATTGGATTTTACCATACAGCCCACAATTTAAAAAGGGGCTAATATGTAAATCTTGTTCATTTCTCTGGAATTTCTACAGGAAATGTAAATCCCAGAGGATAATGCAAAACCAGATTATAGGTGGGTAGGCTGTAGAGAATGCAAAGCCATAAGGAGGAATTTAATATTTGAATTGTTCATTGTAATACAGTATAATAAATCCTCATCTTAATGGGAAAATAGCCTTTTAATAAATTCAAAATGGGATAGAAATTCTGTAACAATAAATAAAGAGAACTGCTTTGATAGGCTATTTCTTATTTCCTTCTAAGAGACACATTCATTCACTCACATACACACATACGGAAAGACCAGAAACAATTATAATAGTCTTGTGTTGCAATCTCACCATTATTTCTGACAGTTTCCAAGATTCTGCCAGCTAGTACCAATTAAGACTTTATGCTAGCAGAATTCCACATTCTTTTATTAAAGAATAATTGCAGAGCTACATTGACAGGCAGGCAGGCAGACAGACAGACAGACAGACAGACATAATTCTTATAGCCTTTCCAGAAAATGCTTGGTAGACAAATATATTAATGTCTGACCCTTAAAAAAAAAACTTTCTTCACGGGGAAACCCAAGCCAATCTTTTTGATCTGTATTGTATATACAGAGTTTTAAAAAAACAAGGAAAAGTTCTTCATGGTCTCTAGACATATTTACGGTCCCAGGGTCAATTTTATGAAAACAGATTATTCTATTAATTCTCAGCAACTTCAACCACTACAACTCTGTAAAATGGGCCCACAACACGGCTATGCATGTCTCCAGCTATATTGAGGCTATTGGATAGCACAGAAGAGGAATTGCTAGAGCAAGAATGCAAAATTGAATTGGTAGATTTATTGAATAGGCAACAGTAGAAGTCCAGTCTCCTTATATGTATAACAAAATCTAAAAGTAAAAACTCCTTTGAGTCCAGCTCTACTCTTAGTGACTACCTGGATACAACCATGTAGTTTTCTTGGCAACAGTACATAACAGGAGAGGCTTCATATTACATGCCAGTTATGCAGTGCAATGTTATTTATTTTCTGATGTCCCTGAAGAAGCGTATCTGTCCATATATCCATCTTGCTTGCTTGGTTATCTTCCAGCTAAAAAATGTAAGTAAGTAATGAGAGAGATGAAGATCTTGCATTACACATACTTTTTTGAAACTATGAGGAAGAAAATGTCTCCCACAAAGTTCAAGCACTTACAGCAGAAGGCATCTCTTGCCTATTGTGTGTTCTCATAAATTTTTTGCAAAGCCCTACTTATTACATTGTCTCATCAAGAAAAATAGAGCTATGTTTTGGATGTTGAAATACCATACAGATCATTCTTATCCAAGTCTTTGATATTTTTGAATGAGGCATTAATTTGCTTGTCATGAAAAACTACCTAAGAAAAGCAGTACAGGAAAATCACTTTGACAGAACAAGTATAAGATATGTTAGTTAAAACAAACTGTCATCTTTCAACATCCTCAATTGCTTACGATTCTATCACTCTTTACAATCACATTTCCTCATAACAAAAAAAAAGAACTCAAGATAGGGCTGAGAAGATAAAGTGCAACTAACAGGACAGGACAGCAACAACCCTGAATAGTTCTCGTTGAATCCCACAAGGAATAGAAAACATGCCAGAATTTGGCAGACTGCGAAGAGGTAACAAAACTACTTGTTGCTCCCAATTTAATAGTCTTTTCATCTTAGCTATGTGTCAAAATATGACTCTTTTATTTTCTTCTATGTATGAATGGCTGCCATTCATACAAGGGCAGAATAAAAATCCTGCAGTTGAAGGACTTACTTGTGGTGGAGATATGATCTACTTTTTCCCTTTGTAATCTATTCCCGACTCAGAGAGGCTTCCACTCTTAAGTAAATGCACCTGCATAAGCACAGAGGTCCTTACTACAACATAACAGAAGCCCCTATAATAGTGGAACCACACACAGATAGCTAAAAAGAATAAAAAACTCTAAGGGGCTGTATCAAATCAGATGCATGGTCCTGGGTGGGGCTGCAAAGATAATACCAGTGAGGTCTGATGCAGTGTACTGTTCCATTGCAAAAATCACACCCCTTTGGTACTCATTTGGAATTCGATTTTACTATTTTCTTTTTCTTTCTTCATAATAAGTATATTCCAGATTATAATTCCAACTATATTCCATAGTTACCTTATGTAAAAATGGAAGATAGATAGATAGTAGATAGATAGTAGATGATAGATAGATAGATAGATAGATAGATAGATAGATATAGATAGATAGATAGATAGATAGATAGATAGATAGATAGATAGATAGATAGATATAGAGATGATCTCACCCTGAGTGTTTATACAAAGAATGGGCACTGTTTAAGAAAACTGCTTGATTGTAAGAGGCTGACCTTCAGGAGCTATCCATGGTACTGAATAGGGTGTTTATTAGAAATCCATTAAAAGTCCTGGGTGCATTCCTTAGTCCTGATTGTGATACCAGTTTTACTTGGCAATTTATTTGTTCAATTCAATATGGAGAAAAAAGAGAATACTTCTATCTATAACAAAAGCCTGCTGGTGGCTTGGGTGTGCTAAACAAGTACAGTAAAAGGACCTGTTTGCCAAAATTACCAGAACTTGGAACTGGCAATACGAAAGCCTGGCAAGGAAGAATAGTGGGTGTGGGTGGGCTTGAAGTAGTTAAGTTGTGCTATGCATCAGTGTCTCATGCTTTAGATTCCCAAAGGATAGGTTTTCATTAGTTGGCAAGCTACCTACATATAGCTAGGGTGATGTATGCAGCCATGCTTAGATTTCATTCCTAATTTCTTTAGATTACATTACAGGTCATGATCTCTGTCGCCCAGATTTCTGAGGATCAGGGCAATGATCTGGTCACCGTGATTTGGGTGGAGTGTAAATGCTTTGATAGCGTGGTCATTATCTTTATTATTTCCATTTAAAAGACATCCAAATTAAAATTAAGTTTATTTCTAGAAAGAAGATGCATGGCACATTGGTTTTAGGATAAACTGTTTATTCCATAAACTGTAAAGAAGTATATGGCTCAATTTTGCTACCTATAATATAGGATGAAAAAGGTTGTTTATGAAAAGGGATCCATAATCTCCACATCTTAAGTAATAAGGCAATTCATTAAACTGGATTGACTTCTCTGGCCTTAATTAAGCTTTTTTCTTGCTGATGAAGAGTTCTATGCAAGTTAAAAGCTTGCCTACACTTGCATCATGTCGAAATCAATTCAGTCAAAACTACTGCAGTGCTCATTTAGCATGCATTTGTTATACCTGTTTTACTAACTTAGGTAGTGAAATCCAGAGAACAAGGCCCAGAAAACCTTTCCACATAATATGAAAAAAAAAATTGAGATGATGAGAAATATGGCTTTGCAAAGAAGGAATTATTAAATATGAACTCAAGTTCTCCTTTGCTCAGTCATCACTTTCTCATCAAACTATGTCTTTAAATGTTGGAGAACTTTTAGTTTCTGGAGTTGGACACATACTTGCACTCTCTTCTCAATTCTTTCAGTCAACCATCTGGGCTGCACCCCTTTTAAAGCCAAATCAACCTGTTCATTGCATATCAGCCCATGCAAAGAACTGAAGCAATGCAAAGAGAAATACAAGTTACAGCAGTAGGGGGGAAATGCAAACATTCTTAAATAAATCAAGGGAATAGAAAGGGTGAGTGGGGGCATGCATGCACTTCACGTCCCTTTCCAAGTGATCCAGCTACAGAATGGAAGAGGATCTTGGTGCTTACCTTTGCCCATGTTTCAGCAAGTAGCATTCATAATACAACGTATACTAAGCACTGGGAAAAGGCATGAGGGGAAAGGATATGGCCAGTCGATGAGCTTCTTGGCATATTTCCTGACAATGTTATCTTCCCCAAAGATGAAGAGAGATCTGTTGACCGTGAAGCAATTTTGACGGACAGGTATGGGATTGTACAATGCCATAGTCCTGGCCCGTTGAGCTTTAGTTTGCTTATATGCTCCTGGGGTTCCCCCTGAAGAAGCAGGGACTCCCTGGCGGTTCCTGTTCTGTTCCATGGCTCCATCTCCAGATCCCAGCCTGCCAGCCATTGCCTCACCGAAGCGAGCCATCCTGGAAGGAAAAGAGAGAGGTGATCCAATCCAGGCCCCCTCCTTTCCACAAAGTAGCAAGCAGCAAGAAAGGTGTTGCGTGTGCGTGTGTCGGAGAGGGTGGTGTTCCCAAGATAGCACCCCCTTTTGTTTGCTTCTCAGTGATGCTTTCAGAGCCACGCGTTGAAGGACTCCTCCATTCCTCTGGAACCAATGGTTAATAGCCAGCCATGCAATCCCTTCAAGGCAAAACAAAAAGCATTGGGGTTGTTTTTTCAAAAGAAAAAAAAGGGGGGTGGGGGACAGTCTCCACCAAGAAATCAGCCAAACCTACAAGCAAAAGCCATAGTAAATTTTTCTATGAAAAGGGTCAAATGCCTGCTAAGTGGAGGCTCCGTGTGTGTGTGTGTGTGTGTGTGTGTGTGTGTGTGTGTGTGTTTGCTAAGAGGAGAGCTCAGGTTCTGTCCCTTTTTACGTGGAGCTCTCTGCACTGAGGCTGAGCTTTAAATCAGACACCTCCTCCTCCTCCTTCTCCTCCTCCTCCTCCTTCTCTTCCTGGCTTTGTGTAGAGGGGAAAAAAATAGGGGTTCTCCTCTATTCCGCCTTCCTCAGTCCCCCCCAAAAAAGTCTCATCCAGGAGGAATCGGAGGGGCTGTCTAAATCGGGTGGGAAAAGGTTGCCATGCAAGCCTTTCCGTCCGCCTGTCAGGAAGAATGAGAGGGGCAAAAAAGCCCTGCAGTTAGGCAAATGTGGACGAGAAGAGGTGGAGAAACAGGTTGCAGCCCCCTCCGATCTAGTTAGAAAGCAAAGTGTTTAACTTCCTCGCAGCAATCGGCTCCATCTTCCCCTTTGAAACGAGAAGCATTATCTCATTCCCCCCCTCCCCATGAGGAGTGGGGAAGAACTATCCATCTCGCTCTCCCACACACATACCTTTTGCGAGAGAATTAATACAATTATATGGAGGGGGAGTGCTAACAATGGCTTTTGACTAAGCTTCTACGCTGCTCAATTCTCTCTCTCTCTCTCTTACACATATACACACACACAGAGATTCACAGGGTAGCTTCTGTTTAGCAACCAGATTAGATTTTCTCAGGGAAGATCAGAAAGGAGGGAGGGGTCTGTCAGGAACAAAGAGGCTGCCTTGTAGACCTGCATAGGAGCAGAGGCTTGCTGAGTAGCAAAGAAATAAGCCCTGCTTGATAGTTGCTTCTCACTTGCTCATTGACAGAAGCAGGAGTGGACTTCCATCTCTCTTTCGCCACTCTCTCCAGTTTCTGCTTCTTTATTTAAGGCAGACCTTTAGGTGGGGAATGGACCACAAAGTGCAGCGCTGCCACCTCCCAGCAAATACCACATTCTGCACAATTAAGGATATCTTCCTTAATGAACTGACAGATCTTAATACCCTATGTGCATATGTTCATCATATGAGCATACGGGCATGTGGTTTTAAATACTGGGGCAGAGCTGCCCCCTGCTCCCTCATATTGGTATAAAGCCAGAGGGGGAAAAAAATGGGCCTGAAACATGCCCGTGTTCTTCATTGCCGGTAGTCCTCGATTTACAACCAGTCATTTAGTGATCATTCAAAGTTACAACAGCAGCGGAAAAAGCGACTTGTGGTTGGTCCTTGCACTTATGGTTGCCATAGCATCCCATGGTTATGTGTTTAACATTTGGGTGCCTGGCAACCGGCACATATTTACAAAGGTTGTAGCCCAGGATTCATGTGATTGCCATCTGTGACCTTCCATGTGGCTCCTGACAAGCAAAGTCAATGGGGGAAGAGCAGGATTCGCTTAACAGCCATGTGATACACTTAACAAAAAGTGTGATAAAAATCACACATGACTCACTTAACAACTGCCTTGCTTAGCAATGGGATTCTGATCCCAGTTGTGGTCCTAAGTTGAGGACTACCTATATTTCTTCAACCGTCGCAATACTTCTGAAATGGAAAAATTCAAAAATAAAAGATTAAACTCCTTTCCATATCTTGACACCTTTCCTTTCCAGAACATATCTTAGTTTCATCAACTCTGGAAAGAAATTTATCTTCAGCCAAAGATTCTGAGAAAATCTGCCTCTGGATATCTCTCAGAAAAAATATCTTGGCATACAGTTATAAAATTTGTTGGATTGTGGGCTAGTGCTTGGCATCTAAACTTCTGGGATGGTTATTTCAATATATAGTTTTCAGATTTAAATGTAGTGTTCTTCAGTGCTATGTTTCTAATAAGAAAATGAATGTTCAATGCCTAGGTTATTTTTTTTATATAAAAGGAAAAAACTGGTTTTATTCCTTTTCTGTTTTTGCATAGCTTATTTTATCACAGAAGAGAACAATGTAGTGTGTATCTATGTGTATCTTTCGCTGTAATCTAGAACCATTTTTCTTATTAAAAGAAGAGTAAGCTTTCATCACCAAGAGCGTTGGTGGTGCAGCGGACTAAAGTGCTGTTAAGTAGCACTTAGCTGCCAGCTGCCTGCAGCTGCCTGCAATTACTGCGAGTTAAATTCTCACCAGGCTCAAGGTTGACTCAGCCTTCCATCCTTCTGAGATAGGTAAAATGAAGACCGGATTGTGGGGGCAATAAGCTGACTTTGTATAAAAAAGAACACCGCTTGGGGGGGCCAAAAGCCCTACTAAGCAGGTATATACAAAAGTATGAAAGTTATTGCTTAACGCATTGTAAGCCACCCTGAGTCTCCAGAGAAGGGCAGCATATAAATCGAACCAATAAATAAACAATAAATAAATAAATTTGTTGAAGAATGACAACATACATTTATGCAGGAATTTCTATGGCACATACAATATATTGTTTAAGCAACCATTATATAATAAGGTTCCTATGCCCATACAGATAGTCCTTGATTAATGACCAATTGTTTTACAAAAAGAAAACCCCTATTATTGTTCAAAATTAGGATGGCAACCCTAACCCTACTTCTCATATGTATAACCACACGATACTTCTCATATGTATACCCAACTCCCACACACTCTTCTTGACCTGCTCTGCCCACTGCGTTCTCATCCCAACCTGATCGCTTGCACACACATATGCGCCCTCCCCAACCCACACAGCATCTCTCATGCACACCCACATACCATTTCCCAATCCGCCCATTGTGCTCCCTCCACCACCAAGAAGGAGCCACTTACCTGTTTGCTGCTCTTGGTCTTGCAACTTTCTGCTTTCCCCATTGACTTTCTCCCTGCAAGTTTCCCATAAGCAAAGTAAATGGGGAAGCCAGCAGGAATTCAAAGGAGGGAGGAAGAAATGTTTCCAATGCTCCCTGCCAGCTTCCCACAAGGACAATCAATGAGGAAATTAACAGGAAATCAGAAGTCATTCCTGCTCCTATTGCTTTTTTGCCCACCTGTGGTCATTCTGTTTCTTTGTTTAGGTAAGGAAATATCTCTGAAAGGATGACCCAAAGGGACATGGGCTGCCTAGTGTACAATAATTTCATATAGTAATAAAGGATAGCTATTCATACTGTATAGATGGATATGTTTAACTTTGTAGGACTCTGGTTCTCTTTGGCCAACTTTCTGTGGATACCAGAGGAACTGAACAGCAGATTATCTTTTTCAGGGGGAAGAGGGAAGGGCTCAAATATGGAAATACCAATCTTATATTAAGCCAAACGGAGTCTAGAGACTGATATCCTCATTGCTAAGGACAAATAAATATATTTCGGAAGTGCCATCAGGCTTCAAAGGGGAGTAAATGTTGGTTTGTAACTTGCCATTTTTGTCTTTTGTCAGTTAAAATCAAACCACGAAGACAAACCTTTCTACCTTTTTTCTGATCCTGAGGGTCTGGAGGAGTGGTGTTGAGGCTCACAATCACACACGCCTCTTAAGCACAATGCTATTATGGATACTACTCTACCCCTTTTCCTTCAAGTGGTATAGCTGGTTTTGGATGGCTCGTGGTTAGAGCTTGGGGGAGGAAGCCAGAATCAATTATTCTGTGCTCCTAGAAGTAATGAATGTCAGTTTCTCTCAGCCCTACAGAGGAGGCAATGGCAAACCATTCACCAGGAGTCATTGACAGATTGAAGAAAAAAACACACACACACACACACAAATATTTCATGGTTTAATTGGATAACCTCAAGTTTCTTCCATTATAAAAAACAAAAGCATCCCTTTCTCCATTTTCTCAGTCTCTGTTATGCACCCACTTTACACATCTTTTTTCTTAACTAAAAAGTTCAAGCATGCTTCCTTGCACTTTTTTGCTGGTTTACAACCAAACAGAATATTCCACAAAAAGTCACAGCATAGAGTTATACCAAGACTTTAGGATACAGACATTAAGATATCAACCCTGACCACAAAAGCCTCTCTTGAGCAGCTAAGGAAGCACTATCCAAATAATTTGTCTGCAAACTTGGCCATGTCCTATAAACCCTTAATGTTATTTATGAACAAATTAAAAGTTGTTATCTGTAATACTGATCCTTGAGAGAAATCCCGTTGCACTTCCATTCTGAAAACATTCCATTAGTTGTCTCAAAGGTGCTTTTACAAAAGTCAGCTGGACTATGTTTTTTCCTTAAAGAAAACATTTTGTTTCTCATCCAATAAAGTTCTTCAGTTCTGACTGGATGGTGAGTGGTGGGGGAATGGAAGGATTATATTCAGTGGTGAAATCCAATTTTTTTAAAATACTGGTTCTGTGGGCATGGCTTGGTGGGCGTGGCAGGGGAAGGATACTGCAAAATCCCCATTCCCACCCCATTCTAGAGGAAGGATACTGCAAAATCCCCATACCCTCTCCACTCCTGGGGGAAGGATATTGCAAAATCTCCATTCCCACCCCACTCTGGGGCCAGCCAGAGATGGTATTTGCCGGTTGTCTGAACTACTCAAAATTCCCGCTACCAGTTCTCCAGAATCTGTCAAAACCTGCTGGATTTCACCCCTGATTATATTCCTTTGCAGTCATCAGATCCTTAGAACTCTCTCTCCGTCCAGTCAGAACTAATCCTTCCATC